CCGGGTAAGAGAAGATATATTGCAATTGGAGCCACGCATGCTACGTGAATTGTACGCTAGTTCACGCGCAAGCCGTCGTCTTCGTTTTGCATCCACTCTATGGGGCGCGCAGCGGGCATCGTTACACACGACAGTCGAAATGCTTGCCGTGTCATTATTGGGAAAATACGACTGGATTACTTCTCACGAACTTGATCATTTCAATTCCTGAACACACCCAGCGTTAAATATAAATAACACAAAAAGGAGCAGTTTAACTGCTCGCCAGAAGGCAAATTTCTACTCGGACCAATATTGCATTCTCCCTTCTAGATAATCTTACGCGCATCGTCTTGGAGACAGTTACCATGTGGACAAAAACGTCTACCGTCGAGGATGTTGAGCTGATAAGACAACTGTTCTCCCTCCTCTATCGTCAGTATGGAGCTCTGGATGAAGTACGTATGGTTGTCCCCATCCGTCTTCTCGCACACCTTTCTTTGTAATCTTAGTCCTTTTCGTTTAAAAACAACTTGGTTAATTGTGCCAACTACGCTTTTACCACTCTAACTAGACAGTTATTTTTATTCTACTGGAATCAGTGCACCTATCGAGTAGTGGTCAAGATTTTATCGGGACGGTCATCGGATTTTTAATTTATCCCACCTTATGAAGTCAACTGCTCCTTTCAGATACGTTAATTAAAGGCGGCTTCCGGCAGACCACCTGGATTGCAGCAAGTTTGTGGGACCAAGTTGTCCATAAGCCCGGTCGATGACACCATTGAGTAGTCTCCTGGGCCCCTAGAATCGTATAAAGGACCGGGAAAGATGAACTTGTCTTCCATTTGGCGTAAATTAGCAGCAGAATGCCTTGCTCTTCCATCTAGTTGTTTGTTTGTGCGTATTTTCGTGCAGCATCCAGTAGGAGGCAGGTGGCCGTTTTCCTAGATTATATATTACTTGGTATATCCCCCTGGTGACCTAGCCGTTCCCTGCAAATGCAATTCTTCCGCGCCAGTCGTGGTCTAAAAAGCTGCCATTTTTAGCTTAAAAGACTTAAAACTACATATGATGACGTTCCCACCCTAGTATCGTACTAAGACTGTCGTAATTAGTTCTACCTCAAAACCTTTCCTCAACTTTCTTAGCTTCGTGAGGGGCTTCAACGCACCTACACCATTGGCTACGCGTCAAAGGGAGATGTGACCAGACTCCTGCGTTCCCTTGGTCGCATCCGTTCTCTACTCGGTGTGCAGGTTGGCAGCAACGAGGAGACGCTTCTGAAGAACTGTCTTTGGTCAGTCTGACGTCTTGGTTTCTTTTACTTCGCTGTCATCAACCGCAAGGTTCCTCATCACCTAAGTTGCTTTACCTCTGCCTTCTATCAGAAACAGTGCGTCCCTTCTATCCTCCGTTCTACGTGATCTGTCGCAAAACTGAAGGAATCTAGCGTTTGATTTTTTCCCATTACGAATAAGGACAAATACCAGAATCGCACATATTTGTTGGAGTATTAATGAAGCAATCTTTCTGGGGCCATCTGCTTTGTTTATTCGATCTTGTACACGTGAGGGAGAACATTGTAGCACTGCATGCCTTTTACAATAGACTTTTTGTAATTGTTTTACAAATGTTTTGTGGCAGCCTTATGAGGTACAAAGGGCAGCATTGAAAGAATGGAGTATATAACAGAAAGCATACGGGGAACGCGATCGAACCTACTGATGAGTCGAACGCCTTCTAGCTGCGTCAAATAGTTGTAAATTACCAGTGAAGCAGGTCTCTGATCTCTTAGCTGGTACTTGTGCTGTCATCATGCTGGGTCATTCATTATATAAACCTTTTGTTAAATGTACATGCGGTTATACGTCGGAGACAAAGACTGAACTGGGTCCCATTATTCAAAGCTCCCCAGACGGTACCTCCTCTGTCTTAACACAGCATCGCTTTCTTTATAGATTTCTTTGGTTCGTGAGAGAAGAGGTACTTGTTATAACGGTGACTTCAGTGGTGTCCCCGTCTAGGTCCGCCCGTTGAAATCCTTGAGGAAGAACACAATAAGAAGGCCGTAACTTTGGAATCCACCCACAGGAGGGTTTATTGTGTACAAAACCCGGAGTTGCTGTCTGGGGTGGCAGTTGCTGCTGGTTGATCTCCAGCGTGCTCTTTGTCCCGCCTCAGGGGCAAGCCCGACAATCTGGAGCGGACTGGCGGTGGCCTCGCACTCCCTGTTGCAAATCACTGTTTGAAGGGTGACGGTGGCTTATAAGGGATTGCCATGCGCGTTCGCTTGTGGCATTGTAGGATAAGGTCACACGACCGGTTTGCGGGCGCGAATGTGTCCTCTCCAGAAGTTTAGGTCGTCGCGCGTGAACAGTCATTGCGTGGGCGCAACCCCCGCGAAGGCATATGACCTTGAAAGCAGTCCTTTGTTGACAAAAAGATCATTGTGGCGGTCGGTGGCAGGCACGACGCCTCAGGAGAGCCCGTAAGGTTGCTAGTCTTTGGTCAGGCCACACTCCTAACAGTAATCAGTATCGGGTGAAATAAAGGCGAAGGCCTTTGAGCTCCCTACTGGTAACAAGGTGGCTAAAAATATAAGAATACAAAAGAAAAATAGAAAAAAATATTTCAGTGACATTCTTGCAGGCGAATAGCGAAAAGTTGTTGGTGTCGAACTAGTAGTAAAACATGACCATTCGCTTAGCACGAGTAGTATAATAAGTATGTGTGAGAATGTGTCTAAAAGAAGATATTTTTGACCATCGGAAGCGAGCATTTTATTCGCCCTGGGTTTCTGATTCTCGTTCGAATCTATCCCCCAGAGACAATCGCGGATAAAAGCGCTGGGAAACTTTTGCTCTTTGCACAGTTTCGGCTCCTCTACATGTTTTTTTCGGCAACATTACCCTTACCTGCGACTGACTCTAATGATGGGCCCGAATGAGAATCCGACAAGCCAGACGATTAAACGCCTGCTTACAACAGTAGCGTCTTATTCTTCCTGGAATGCACCCCTCACTTCTATCGAAAAAGTTATTATAAGTGGAATTTATTCTGCTTTCTTTCAGGGATATCATGAACAACAACGTTTTCTTCCAACATCCTGATCTCATTCGAGTCCTGGCAGTACACGAGACTGTAATGCAACTGATGGTGCACACCCTGTCTAACGCGGCGCTTGAGTCACCGCAAAGTTCCGCTCATCAGAACTCTGGCTCAGAACTTCAACTTCAGCAAGGCACTGACAGTGGTGGGCGTCCCTCGCCTGGACCATACTCGGGTGGCGGAACCCTACCGGCAGTTATGGAGGAGGCGGAAGACGTATCAAGTGAGCTAGTATTTCCCACCCGCGTCTTAATTCTGCCCGCTCACCTCATACGCCTGCCCTACGTATACGGTCACATAAGTTGGACTGTGGTAACATGGATGCTAATTACTCCTGCTCTCGACATGTATTAACGCCTCTTATCTATCCCACAGGTACACAAATGCGTAGCGGATCCCAGCGTTCAGCGACCGTTGGATCGACGGAGATGGTGGTGCAGTGTTGTCGTTTCCTCTGCTACTTCTGTAGAACCTCCTGGCAAAACCAAAAGGCCATGTTTGATCATCTCAGCTACATGCTTGAAAACTCTTCTATGTTGCTGGGTAGGTTGCTGAGTTATCCCCCTTCTTCTTCTTCTTCTTCTTCTTCTTCTTCTTCTTCTTCTTCT